CTGGTCACACTAATTTATTTTAATTAAAATTTTCTTTGAGCAATTACTCAAAGAGTAATTGCCCTCTTTCCCTAAAAGCTGACTACTCATCAGAAGGATACTCTTTCCTTGCCTGCCTCAGTCTTCCCTCAGTTGTCTTTTTTAAAAAATATTTTTATTTTAGATGTTGATAGACCTTTATTTTATTCATTTATTTATATGTGGTACTGAGGATCAAACCCAGTGCCTCACACATGCTAGGCAAGTGTTCTACCACTGAGCCACAACCCCAGCCCTCAGTTGTCATTTATACAGATCCTGGTGACTAGGAATCTTCACATAATGAAGATACAATCTAAATAATGCAGAGCATCTAAAGAGCTATAAGTTCTCATCCCTATATGAGTAAATTTGATGTACATTAATACACTGCAATACATAGCACATTTGAATTGGACAGAGTCATATTTTAGAAATATATATATATATACACATATATACATAATATATATATATATATATATATATATATATATATATATATACATATATATTTATTGTACCTGTAAATTGGCTCAGAATTGTACTCTTGTTATTAACTACAACCTGAGAATTTCCTTTTCATCGCAGAGATAATGGTAACAACATCTAGTTAACAGTTGAGGATTAGTGGATCCTCATAACCATATAGCAATTGTGATGAAGATTTTAAACTACTGAAGATCATATAGCAAACCAAAATATTTTCTCACATTTATTTACACATATCTGTTTAGTTATAGCTTGAGAGTACATTCTTCATACTTTGTAAGAGTAATAATCCAAACTGTGTTTATCTAAATGGAGCACAGTGTTTGCCTGTAATTAGTTTTCTAATTAGCTACTGTGGGCTAGCTGGATTGCTGACTCCTTGACTTATGCTATTCATCCAAAATAGCCATAAGGGTTGTTTCCAACTAACTCTCTGTTGACTCTTAGAGGATTCAATGTAGGTCCTTACCTGTGGATCTAGAAAAAGGGCCAATAATCTTTTTATTAAACTAGAGTAAAAATAAATAATGAGCTTTATTTAAATACAACATTATTCCTCCTTGACACTGATTTTCAGTTGCCTGACTTTAGCTGGGAGTTATAAATATGTGAAATTGCTCCCATTTAATAGTCTTACATGATACAAGAAGAAATTTCTGAGAAAAGAAACACAAATACATATACACTGTGTGAACCCCATAGACCTCTCTATTGGATCTATTTACCTTATTGGTGGTAAACACATGCTCTTCTTATAATTTTTAATTGATCTTTCCTTTTTGTTTGGAGAATTGTTAAGGTGTTTTGTTATACTCATATTGGATTGAGATAGTTATTATATATAGTAATTGTAAAGTGTTTCTCTCAAAAAGCTGGAAGAAAGGATTTGAATGGTGTTTTTTTTTTTTTTTGGTATTTGTTTCTTGTTTTTTTTTTTTTTTTTGCCATGCAGATGTGAAAAAATGCTTGAGGAAACAGATGCCTTTAATCTGATAATAATGTAAACATGTATAAAAACATCACATGGTACCCCACTAATAGGTACCAATATTATAGATACCAATTAAAAATAAATTTAATTTTTTACAAAAGAATGGATTTAGAGATGTTGAAAAGCAAGAATCAATGGTGTACTATAACTAGTTTGATCTGGAAAGTGGAAGAAAAGCAAAGAATTAAATACATGCATGCTCACAGGACCAGCAAGCTGAGCCAGTCCATGAGACACAGGAATGTGTTCATTCATCCTTTAAATCATTCATTCATTCTTCCATTCAATACACAATTAGTGAAAAATTTCAGTCCCTGAAGAAGCATCCTATAAGTTTACAATAAAATTGGAAAGAAAAGTCTTGCATAGTGTGAAACATTTTAAGCAATAATGGAAGGGAATATATGATTAGGTTAAAAAAAAGAATTGACTAATGCAGACACAAAGTACTAGGAGAATACAAAAATAGGATCCATGTGGGTTGCAGTATTGGAACTGAGTTTTCTAGAAGATGAAGAATTTAAGCTTGCCCATGAACTCAACTCACAACCAACATTTGTTAAACATCTATTATGAGTGCTGTACTGGGCTGGGCCTGGTGGAAGAGACAAAAATAAATAGGGTAATGACTCTAATTAGCAAGAACTTTACAAACCAGAGTGGGAGATGGATGTTTACCTAATCACATGAGGCTCCAATGATTGAATGGGAAGTAAAAATACAAATGAAGAGTCATTGGAGAGTCAATAAAAGGAAAAGAAAAAATGAGAGCAAGGAGCAGGGATTAACAGAGCAGGCTTTCAGAAAGCTGGAAGATCATGGAGAGAAATACCTTTAAGGCACCAACAAATGCTGGGAAGTAAGAAAGTACTGGCTGATGAAACCCTAGAAGAATCTTTAGGATTTAGCTCTTACTCATTGACTGCAAAAGTAGAGCAGAGAAATGAAGGAAAAAGAGAAAAATAAGTAAGAGAGGGAATCAATAGCAGGATGGTGGGAGGCAGCTTGGATGGAGAAATGCATATTATGTTGTTTTGTAAGATCCAAGGAGGTAAGAAAACAAAGGAGTAGGTCAGAGTTCAGGGGAAGAGATCCAGAATTTCCAAAAAGGGAAAAACCCCAGTGGGCGTGGATTTCAGGGCAATTGGCCTGCCCCAGGCCTCCAAGATTGCAGGCATTGATTTAGCCACCTGGCCACCTTGACTGGTGACTGCCTTTTCTCTCTGGGTAATGGTCCAGGAAAAGGGCAAAGTAGTGCAGTAGAATTTGAAAGAACTTACCAGAGTGTATTTTTATATTCTCTAAGCCTACAGGAACAGAAGCACACAGCAGGTTGATGTAAGTTAAAGAGGAAGGCAATCTCACTGGGTGTGTCAGTCTGTTGAGTAGGTATGTGATTACATCTGATATTTATAGCAGGTAATAGAAAAAATAAGTGATCACTTAAGGATATTTCAGTCGTCTCAATAAAAAAAAAAAAAAACACTGACAGTTTTCACTGTTATATTTGTGGGCACCAAGACACAATTCTTGGGTGCTGTTTCTTAGTAGTATTGAACTCATGGATACAGAATAAGCTTTGACAAGGTAATTTTTCTAAATGTTCTTCCTGGAAACATTAGCCAGGAAAGGGATTTTAAATCTGGTTATTAAAATCCTTTTATGAAAATGTAAAGGGGGGCTGGGGTGGTGGCTCAGTGGCAGAGCACTTGCCTAGCATGTGTGAGGCACTGGGTTCAATCCTCAGCACCACATATAAATCAATCAATCAATCAATAAATAAATAAATGTACATCAGCAACTAAAAAATATTTTAAAAAAAAGAAGAAGAAGAAAATGTAAAGGGAATGGCTAAGGCTAATTTTCATCAGATACAGTTAGGAATAGTAAAATGTTTTAAGAGAAGTAAGCCAAGCAATAATCAGCATCTACATTTTCTGTAGGCTTTGACTTTCAGGATCAGTCCACCTTGATTTATATCTGAAATTATCTCAGCCATTATCAAAGAAGTCAAAGATTCCCAGGTCATTCATTATATAGATGCTCATTTCCATATTGTTAATCTAATTTGACACAACCTCCCATATCTCCCAACATTACTGGGGATTGAATCCAGGAGCTCTCTACCATTGAGTTGTAACCCCAGGGTCTATCTTATTTTGAGACGGTCTCACTAAACTTCCAAGGCTGCCCTTGATCTTGTGATCCTCTTGCCTTAGTCTTTCAAGTCCCTGGGATTAAAGGCCTGCACCATGGCACCATGGCCTGTACCTAGCTCCTCCCTACCTTCTTAAACCTCCCTTAGACCCCAAAGAACAACACAGCAGTCCTCAGAGATAACTTCCTAGTATCTAATAGATATTTCAGTCAGCGTGGTCAAAGTAGAAATCTTTATCCACATACCTCCACCCAAGCTCTCACATCTAAATAAATGCCATTCTCAGATAGTGAATTGATTAGCCAAAAGTCTGGGTTCCTTTTAATCTACTCCTTTCTGTCTCTTCCTGTTAATAGCTTCACTAGTTTGATATCCATGTTATATATCCCTAAAATGTCCATTTCCACCATCCCCACTTCTATGACCATAGTCCAAGTCTTCTCTCTCTCACCTACACCATTTGGAATAGCCATTTATCCCTGCCTCTTTGCGTGACCATTTAAATCTAGCAATCAGAATGATTTTTTCAAAATGCTTGTCAGCATGTCTCCCTCATCTATGCAAAGCCACCCACCCATCTAGAGTGAAATCTAAACCCCTATCATGCCTTCAAGTTCAGATAGCACTAGTCTTCATTCACATTGAAGGTTCACACCCCAGCTAAGGCAGCTCTGCACTTACCGTGAAATGACCTTATTTTATTTTTATAGTATATAGTGGGACCTGGCACATCTCATATGCTTGCTTTTCTAAAAATATTAATTATTATTCTATAACTTTCCCCTGTAGCAAGTAAGCATTTTGAAAGCAGAGATTCTTTCCACTCCATCATGTGTCCCTATGGTCCACCATGAACCCTGGCACATAGATGATACTCAGAAATATTTTTAATTGATAAATGAACTAGGAATTAAGATTTGTGGCTACACCTTTAAATACCAATCTTAGGAAATTTCTTATCAAAACTGGATTCTAAATTTACCTTATAGGTCTAAAATACAATCAAATACAGTCTTTCTTCAGTTCTCTTGACTTCAACAATCATTTTCATGTAATGAGAAGGGATATTGTCTCACAGGATTTGGTTCCTCCAACCCTACAGTCATTATTTTCTTGAATTTCCAGCCTCATTAGATCTCTGTGGGTGTCTTATGGCTTTGTCATTCCCTGGCCATCAATATCAGGAGGGATTTCAGCTCCACCATGAAGATGAAGCTAACGAAGAAAGATGACCCCTGATTGCTCCTGTCATTCTCTAACCTCATTCATTTGAGGAAGGGAAGTATCTCAGTAAATCTCTAGGAATGCTAATTTTGGAGGAAAAAAATTGCATGCATGGAGTAAAAAGAAAATACATTTTATTTGTAACAAATGTGTATATAGAAGGTTTATGAAGATTTAATTTCTTACAAAATAAACTTGACACAAAAGACTCCAACAGATTTGTGACTGATGATTTATGTAGGTTTACAATACACTAAGATACAGAATCAAATGATGGTTAAATTAAGTCAACTCATTCCTTTGAGTTCAAAGCTCAATGTCATACACAATATACACTTTTATTTGCCATTAAGCTGTGAGTTAGATATTTTGACAGATATAAACAACACGATATAATTTATATGTTGTCATGTAGGTGATAAATAATCTTAAAATAAGTTCACTGAAATTCCATTATAATGTCCTCTGGACTAAACCTATAGAATAATACTCGTTATAGGATAGAGAGAATTATACAGATTGAATTAATGTTAAAAATGATTCAGAATGAAAGCATACATATTCAAAATACTACAAAGAATCCTAAACATTCAAGGAAAATTACACTTTTAAAAACTGGAAAATAAGAAATTTTGTAAACTAACTGAATCAAGATAAAGAAAATACTAAGCCAGTATTAATGTGAAAGTGTTATCTCTTCATTCTTTATTTTTCCCAATATATTGGAATGTGGTCATTTGATTATGCTCAAGTATTAGGAGATTCTACCTTAGTAAGATTATGTTTGTCATGATTATGACATTGGAGAATATTTCTACACAGACACCAGAGAATGTCGAAATAAAAGTGTTGGTCATGATTGTCCAAATAGGCAGAAAATAAATTCTTCTCAGACATCTGTTATTTTAGATAATCCCTCGCCTCTTTTGTTGTACATTACTGCAGCTTGTAGAACACCACAGTAATATGCTCTCTCTGAATAGAAGTAATTCCTTGCCTTACTGAATATCCTGGAAATAGGTATATAATTCAGCCATTCAAAAATGTTATACTTCCTTTTACTAATAATTCCCTGCTATCACCGAATATAATAACAGTCTCTCACACAGGGCACTTTTGACACATTCATGAAGTATATGTTCCTCACTGAAAGAAATATTGGCTTTCTACATTGGTGAAAAATATTTACACATTCCCCAAGCTCAGCACTGCATAAAATGGAAATTGGTTTCATTTCCCATTTGTACTAAGAGTACTCCTTCAAGCGTCTTGCCAGTTCACTGTGTTTCATTTTCTCTGTGAATAGTTCATCAAATACTCTCTTCTGCTTTGAAGTAAAGTAGTTTATCCAATCACCCACCACTCCTGCAAAAATTGGAAATGTATCAGACAAGAACCAATTTAAATGTATAGTATTCACAAAAGAAATCTGTTAGCTTTATAATAAAATGTGAACATTTGGTATTCCTTGGTGATAAGATTATGTGGGATTATTTTTCTTTTGCTTATCTGTTGTTTCTAATTTATTCTGCAAAGGTTGCATTATTGATTTGTACAGTTTAAGAAGTTACTTCTTAAAAAGAAAGAGAGATTGAAAATACTTAAACATCATAAGGTTTTACTCTAGAAGGCAAATAAGTTTCTAATCTAAATGTAATAAAACTAAATCAGACAATGTGGGCATAAGAACATTTAACTTATTTCCCTACCTGGGCACCTAGTAGCAGAAGATGTGTGGGTGGGTGGGTAATTTGTCTCATTATAAGAAAACCTATTTTACAAAGTGAATAATGGATAATTAGAAACATAAACATCGAGTTCCAATATAAGATATCTGGAGATAAGGAATATACCTCACAATGTCCCTGAGCCTCTCCTGATCATACAAATTACCTTCTCAGCTTGGCCACAAGAGGGTCCCCTCAATACTGCCTTTCTCACCTCTCTTATGCCCCCTGTGACACAACCCAAACCTGAATCTTGCACACAATGGTTTTCTGGCCTCAAGCTTCACCTCTGGGGTCTCCAGGTATTGACGCCAATGAAATATCATTTTATCCCAACATTTCTAATTGCTTAATACCATTCTCTATTATGTTTTCTTTCCCATTAGCTTAGGTTAGGGACTGTGATGTATCATTTGTGTGTAATCCTATAGTTCCTGATTCAATGCTGAGCAGTTTCTAGTGAGTGGGTGTTCAATAAACAACCTGCAGCTTAATCGAATGCCAAATAATGTCACCTACACCTACAGCAAAGCAACATAAAACAACCTAGGAATTTCTGATGTTATGAATTATTGCCTCAAAAATTGAGTTCAAGAAGAAGCAGAGAGAAATTCTTCTATTGCCAGTAGGGTGAGGATAGGAGATGGAAAGGAGAGTAGTACCAGAAGGAAGATCTCAATCAGGAAATGACACTGATGACACTGCCTCTAAGGCACACCAAGTTGGACACAAGGCCAGTGTTGGGACCTCTGCTGACCATGGAAGTGCAATCGCTGGGGAAAAAGAAATCCCCAGTCTTGTGATTCTGGTTTTGTGATTCTCCATGTACATGACAGTTAGAGCTTGAGAAATGGCTTCCATATACGTGCCTGAACGGCCCCAAGATATGGCTTCTGCAAACACAAAGAATAACTCCCCAGCAACGGGGCACACATACCTAATGGGGTATTGTTTCTTTAACTGGGGTAATGGAGCTCTGTTTCTGTAACTGGGGTGCCTAGGCTACTCCAACCTGGGGGACTCTCCGATCTCTGATTGGCCCCTGCCTTTGTCCCCCCCCACCTTCTCCTCTCTCTATATAAGTCCTCTCCCTCCACAATAAACTGAGTTGCTGTGCCATCTCGGCTGACTCAACTCCCGACTCGGTGTGATTTTTGCCAGGCAGGGTGGCGGGCCGGGTCGCTACACTCATCCTCTAGCTCAGCCCGGAGACACTCACTAGCTGGTCTAGTGATTCTCCTCAACCTCTGTCGGAGGGCGGTCCGACAGGCCAGCTCCATGAGGTCAGTATGCCTGGCCCATGGAAGAGCAATATTATTGTTACTGAACAATCAATATCCTTTGGTCTTTTTCTGGTTTTCCCTTCCAGCCTCAGTGTCAGCTCCTCTGAATCACTATTTTAATCTTCATTTGATATGACTTTTGTTTGCTTGTCTTGTTTCTAATTTCTGATTTGTTCTTTGGACTTCCTTTACTTCTTTTGTTAAGGAAAACAATTCTAAAAATAATATAGTAATTATATATGTAGGTTAAGAAAATATGTATGAGCAAAGAAGGTTTAAAAAAATCAAGGAAATACACTCAGCTAACATGGTATATGCTAACCTGCATTCTCCCAGGTGTTTTTCTTTGCAAGCATAGATATTCATGTAAACTGTATTTAAGAATCACGACATGATAACCTGCTTTTAATTCACATGTTATACTTTGATCATCTTCCATGTTAGTATGCATACACACACAGTAAAATTATGGTTGCATAGAACAAGACGATCAATCAAAAACTTAAAGGGAAATTGGAAAATGTTTTGAAACAAAAAAACAAAACCACGGCACCAAAAACTTAGATAATACAGTAGAAACAAAACAAAGAGGGCAATTTATAGTGGCGAACACCTATACTGAAAAAGAATCATCTCAAATAAACAACCTAACTTTACACCTCAACCAACTAGAAAAAGAAGGGAAAAAAACCAAGCTCAAAGTTAGAACAAGGGAAAAAATAATAAAGATGAAAGCAGAAATAAATGAAATAGAGAAGACCAAAAAAAAATCAACAAAACTAAGAGTTGGGTTTTTGAAAAGATAAGCAAAACTGATGATGAACCTTCAGTTAAGGAAAAGAAACCTCAAATAAATTTGATTGAATTCAAGTCTTGACTTTACTGTCTTTTAGTTCCATGACTTTGAAAAGTTATTCAGGTACTTGATGTCTCTGTACAAGGGTTAATATGAATATAATCCTCAAGTTTATTGTCAAGTATAAGAAAGATAAACCAAGTAATGTGGTTGGCACATAGTAAGCACTCAATAAATCCTACTTTTGCCTGCATAATTTTCTGTAATTTTCATACGCCATAGTAAATTCCTATATGCATGTAACTAAATTTCTGATTAGTGTCCGTTTCAGTGCTTTCTAGATTTTCATTGTCATGGGCAATACTGCAGCCTGCCTCCTGGCCATACATCTTTCCACACTCCCATAATTCTCCTGGAACTTTGAGTATGTGCAGGTCATTGGACTTGGGACACTGGGATCACTACCTTGTCATTTCCTAGAACATCACTCTAATTTGGGATATCAAAGTAAAGACAACTGCAGGGACAAATTCTCCTCTGTAAAGTGAAGACTTTCTCTGTGTGCCAAGGAGTCTAAGTCAGTGACTTGAGCAGTTTACCTGCAGTGAGCATTTCTGAAGGATAGATCCTCAACTCCCACCTCATCTACCCAGTGGCAGGAGCCAAGTGCACTACTGCTGGGCCCTCCTTGTGTTTAATTCCTTGTGTACAAAGATCTACCAACAGGCCCTCCTGGTGACAGTATCAGTGAGGATGTTCCCACTGTTAACCTTCTGTGCTTAGAGCAACACAAGGAAACACTTTTAACACTGAATTTAAATGCTTTAGAATTAATGTTGTTAGCTACAGTGATAAGTGAACTGATTTCATATAGGATATTTGCTAAGGTTACTAGCATGGCAGGTCAGAGAATAATTCCTTTCCCATTACAGTAATATTTCACATGTTTGTAGGATAAGATGTGAGAATATTGATTACTTTGCTAATCAGAATCTCAAAGGGTAGTAATCAAACACTGTTCACCACTAAATATCAGAACTTCCTCATTTCTCACTTTCCTCTTTACCATGGTCTGTCTCCTTTTTTGTTGTTTGTTGGTTGGTTTCCTTCCTCTTTGCTTATTTTGCCTTCCTTATGTGGATCTTTTTCTAAGTTCTGCTGTTTTTCTTTCACCTCTTCTCTCAACCCTTCCTAATCTTTTACTTGTTCCTGCCTTTCTCTCAAGCCCCACATCCCCTTCCTCCTACCCTCTATTCTCAAACCTCTTGGAAGAGGGGCCCTTAGTTCCCGTACCCACCTTCCACCTCCCATCTCATCAGATATTCACCTGGTTCCCCCTATATCTGGATAAAAATCACACAGACTTCAAAATAGTTCTATATCCAGATGTACCCGTACTTGCTCCTTACTTAAACCCGAAGAACTAGTGGAGAAGATTTATTTTCTTCTCTTTGTGTTTCCAGGCAGAGGACCATCCTTGATTAACAATCCCAGCTTCTCTCCCTACTCCTTCCTTACTTCTGAAGGATGAGTTGCCTGGTTGGTATCTGGGGAAGCATACCATCCACATTCATGAACTCTTTTCACTTAAGAGAAGACTGGTGTGTTTGATCACCACTATGCCCCAGCGCCTTGCCTGGGGAATGGAAAGAATGGCCCTTGATGGGCTGTAACTAAGTGCATATGTTTATATAATTCAGGGTAAATTGTCAGCAAATGCACTAGGCTGCAGACCTGAGGCATTTTCTTCAAAGAGCTTTATTATTTCCATCTGTTTAACTCCTATGTCTAGCTTTCAATTGACTCCTGAACAGGCATTGACATCTCAATTCTGGAAATAACACAATTCAACAATCTTATTTAATAAACATTCACCAAAGGGTGACAATGTGCAATGTATTACACAAGAAATGGAAAGGTAAAATGGAAGATTAAAAATGGAACTGCAGTTGTCCCTTGGTTATCCCAGGGGGGATTGGTTCCAGGACATCCCCAAAATACCCAAATCCTCACGAGATATCCCTTATATCAAATGGCATAGTGTTTGCATATAACCTATCTATGCACATCCTTACTTGCACTTTAAATCCTCTCTAGACATACCCAGTACAATGTAAGTGCTCTCTAAATAGTTGTTATACCCAGTTGTTAAGGAAACAATGACAAGTCTACACACATGCAGTATAGTTGCAATTTTTTTCAAATATTTTCATCTGCTATAGGCTCAATTCACTGATGAGGAAGATGCAAATATGGAGGGTCAACTGTACTTCCAAAGACAGATGAGTTACCACATCTCCTTCTGGCTTACCTTTTCTAAATACCAGGTTCCTCTCAGATGTGAGGGCACAGATGGTATGATTTGGATCATGGCTTTCTTTGACTGTATTATTTTTCATTTCACTGAAGGATGTTTTCCAAGCAATGTTATTAATTTCACTGTCATTCACATGCATACCAAGGAAAGTAGTTATTTTCTTTAAACTTTTAAAAAAATCCTGAGCAATAAGCAAAATTTAAAAAACAAATTAAGTATAAGTCTTGTCAAAACACAAAATTCATTCCCTAAAACCTAAAAAGCAGAATTCAATTGATTGACTTCTTGTTTTAACTTAATTTGATTTAAAACTTGATTACTGAAACATTAGGGAAGACTTACTTTCTTCATTTCTTCATAGAATATAATTAGAACATTATCATTTTTGTGCTCTTCCCAGCTTAAAACATGATCAAACCAGGATCCATACACAACTGGAAAAAAAAGTGAATTGTTGTGTATTATTAAAAATTATGTCTTTGCATTCATGGGGTTTTCTCTTAGGAAGCAGTCAAAGTGAAGCATGTACTTATCAGACTCTGGAGTAAGACTTTTCCTTAGAAGAGCTTGGTTTCACTATTATTTTGACAAATAGAATGCTATGATATGATGCTGGATGGCCACATCTTTTAATAAATCTTTGGTGCTGTTTTTCCTTATTTCTAGAAAACATTTTTTTTTTTTTACCATCAGGGAAAGAAGGAGCAGAAATACAGATACACATTTTCTCAAGATAGTTTTTTGATCACCATTTTGGTTCTTGGGAGAAATATAGAAACAATGAGAATTTATTCCTACAAAGTGACATGTTTTCATAATTATAGGTTTTTCCAAAAATATTTACAAACTTCTTTTAAAAAAATTCTTATGATTATGTTTTCATGTATCAGTTAAAATTAATTTGAACAAAAAAATAAAATTAACTTTAAAAAAGATTCTATTCACATGTTAGTTCAAGACTGAAAAATCAGCCTTGGAGATTTATCTTTAGTTGATATGATCTCTTTGTTGTTGTTATTAACTAACAGCCTTGGAAAAAAAACTCCAAGGGTTTAAACGCAAAATATTAAGATGCATAATAACCTCTTTGACAATGGTGATTAAAAATAAAATTTATTTATTTCATTTCATGAAGTCAACTAGTTTGAAGCATAATGCATAAATCATAGTAATTTAAAATACTGCATATACATTGTTCCATGTAACCTTACCAATCAATATTCAAATTCTGGCTAATACCATAAGTATAAAAGAGCTGCTCTACTGCTTTCCTGAAGATCTGCTGACTTTTGATTCATTGAATAAACATTTATTAAGCCATTAGTGTCTGCCAGACATTTGCTAGACGTTTTGAACATTAAAGCTTTGAATAAATTGAAGTATAATTAACTCCAAACTAAGTGCAATTTTTCATGGCTTCAGCTTTTGAGGAAACAAAGAGCAGAAAATAACCATGTGTATTTTTAAAACAAGAATTTCCAGGACTACTGTGATGTCATCAAAGAGTCAGCCTGCTACCCCAGGGACCCAAAGGGTTTACAGTAAGTTCCTCAGAGAGCTTCCTGGACACACCTTTTAGTTATCAGCAGTCTCTAGCAGTTTCAGTGACTTGCGAAACACCTCTTACTAAATTACTCAAAGTACCACTTCAGTGATAAGGGATACCTCTTCTAAGAAGGGTCATTCTTTTCCCAGAAGCAAACACCAGTAGGAGGAAGACTGATTTTCTCTAATGCAAATTTAGGAAGTTAACTACTGTAGTCACTGGTGCCTTAGACCACATCATGGACACAACCTGCCCTGCCAGTTCCCACACCCACATCCTCCAGGTGACATCATGCCTAGAGTTGTTGATGTCCAGAGACTCCTTTAGACTACAGGACAGGGAAGCTGAGCTCCAGCAGCTAGGAGGCTGGGCAAAGACAGACCCAGAGTTTTACTCACCATTAGGTGTAACTGACTTTGCTCATTATGGTTTTTCATAGGAAATGTATTGCAACATGCCTCAGAATACATTTAAGAGTAGATGTTGCCGCATAGCTTGATCATAATTTGAAAGCCAGTTGTTTCATTGTTGACCAATTAATTCATACCCCACCATGTTCCAAAAGGACTTTAGTCAGATAAAATTGAAAAAAGTTGGCAGCCTGCTCCTTCTTCACCAACACAGGAAAGTATGTTAGTACTATATCTGAAAAATGTTTTTGATAGGCTAAAAAACTTAAAGTTTGGATTAATTTTTAAAATCAGAATCGTTTAATTATCCAGGTCATTAATTGATCTTAGCTCTAAAAAAATTCAGCTTTCAAAATAGAGGTTTGAAATCTTTCTTTTATGGAAAACTCTTTTCTCCATGTCCTGCATTTAATTTCAGAATTATCCTACTACCTCCTGGCTTTAATATTTGCCTGCAGGGCCTGCCCTTTGCTATCTAAAATTCTTTCACCAAATGTCCCTGAGAAGACAAGTTTATTCTAACTCAACCCATGTGTCTTAGGGTCTGGGGAGTGAGCCATTTGGCCTCCTAGAAAATTCCAGAATTCCTCCTTCCTATTGAATCCATGCTTCTTTGAGACTCATTTCAATAAATCATTCCTTCCCTCCTTATCTCAATCATAAATCAACCTGTTCTCTCTCCTAAAGTCACTGAAGGCTCTTCCTAACAGGTCACAGTCTCTGGGTCCTCTCAGTTCTTGCCATCTGCTCGAGTGACTAAATGGACAGCTCCTCCCGTGCCCTACTCTGAATATTCTGTCCCTTTCTGTCTTCACTCTCTTCCTCTGTTTTCTTGCTTATCTCTTCAGTTTCCTTGTTGCCTTATTGCTTATTTAGAACAATTAGGAAAAAAAAAACACCCAGAATTGAATCAAAACACTTCAACTTCTTTCTTCTCTCCCATTTTTGCTGAGAGCTGCTGGAGAAATGCATACAAATCAGTATTTGCATCACTGCAAGTTCCTGTTTCCAACCTTAGGGCCCCAAGGCTCCCTAAGCAAGCCACTTGTCCTACATTAACATTCCATTCTTCCCAGCAGCCTTTTGGATCCTGCCACACTTTCTGCAAACCTTGTGCCTCTACTCCAGTTATAATGAATGTCTTAGTTTCTAGTTTCTAGGAAGATCTCAGAAGATGAAGTATTTGTGAAGAAAAACAAAACTCTCTGGGACGAAGTGGCCTAGGAAACAGAGTATCTATATAAGACCGGAGAGAAGGCTGTGAGGAGAAAAAAGAGCTGAATGCTAAGGCATTAATTTTATTGAGATTATTAATCTGCTATGGTTTTACCAGAACACAATTTCTAGTTATTGTTTAACTTGAAAAGCTAAAATGTATTTATATGCTATCTGAAAGGCATATTAGATGATTAGATACATGTCTAATATGTCTCTTTAATATCGCATTATATAACTAAAATCCATGTCTATATTTAGGGATAGATACAGGATATCATAACTCCTCGGTTATAAAATAACCTCTTTAGATAAATTCTTACTCAACAACAGCTCTGCCTTAATGTGAAACTTACTTTCATTCTTTCTTCATCATAATCTTTTTTTTTTTGGTACCAGAGATTGAACCCAGCAGCGCTTAATCAGAGCCCAGAACCACATCCCCAGCCTTTATATTTTTAATTTTGAGACAAGGCCTCACTAAGTTGCTTAAGGTCTCACTAAGTTTCTGAGTCTGGCTTTGAGTTTGTTATCCTCCTGCCTCAGCATCCTGAGCCTCTGGGATTGCAGGTATGTGCCACCAGGCCCGGCAATGTGAAACTCTTTAAACACCTTCTGAAAGAATGCACGAGTAGATTTCTACAGCACATTTCACACATTATTTAAATTTGAACCTCTAAATAATCTTACAAAATGGATAATTTGATTAGCCTTCTTTTATATTAAAGTATAGACCTCAGAAAAGTTATGCTACTAATCCAAAGCCACACAGGAAATATAGTCAGAATTTGATGCCAGGTCTTCTGCCTCTGTCACCTATTCTTCCTACTATACCATGGTAAGAGAAATAATCTTCCCTTCAAAGAGTTTCTAAAGAACATCCCTGAAAAAAATAGTCTCATACATGTAATACTACCTGCACAGGAACACAAACAACCATGACTTACAAATAGTAAAAACAGAAGTTACTTGTACTCAACCCAATAGATTTTTTAAAAAACAACTTCTGTGCTTCTGTTGGTGAGAGGGTTTGCCTAGGCTGAATCACCCAGTTGTATAATGTTTACAGATAAAATCCCTTTACAACTAAAAATCTGTTCATTCACCCAAGAAGGTGCCAGAGAATCATCTGGAATACTTTTTCCAACTATACTCTGTTCCTCCTGGATACTCCAGGGGCTCCACTAGGGCCAGATAGCCTCACTGTACTCTGGCCTGGGCTGGGATGTTTGTGGTTACATGGATAGAAAAATAACTTCTAGAATAGGAATAGTGTTAGACCTGCTCCACCCTGTCCTCACCAGATCACACCTAAAGTATACTTGCTTTCTGGAAACTGCATAATAGTAGAGTGGCCAAATTAGAGCTGATGCAGTGGAAAGGATTGGGAACCCCAGTGTGTGATAATGGCAGACAAAAACAGCATTTTTTGTCTCGAGGAAAAGCAGACTCCAAGTCTGTTCTGGGAAAAAAAAAATCATGTGTTTAAACTCTGCTTATTCCAAAAATGGAATTGAGGTGAAGTTAGGCATGCCAACTATCTTCAAATATTTAGAAGGCTATCATGTACAAGAGGAATTTATGATCAGGGGTAGTTTTTTTCTCTCCTGAACAAATGACACAATGGTTAAAGGTAAAGATTTTGAAGAAAATGCCTGAAATTAACCCGGGCTTTGTTCCTTATTAGTTATGCATCTGTGAACAAATTGCTTGGCTTCTCAAGGTTTGCTTTCTCTTCAGTTTAAAATGAGGATAATAACAGCTACCTCGTAGGGTGTCTGGTGTGGATGAAATGAGAGAATGTTTGCATAGCACTTACCTAAGTGTATCACATGGTAAGCACACAGTAAATGGTAAGAAAAGAAAAAAAAACCGAAAACATCTGAGAAGTGCCAAGAGGAAATGCAGAGTGTTAGGGGGTTGATGAACCTGTTGCCAGGGTTAAGATGTTTAAGCTTAACTTATACAATTCTTGTGGATGTCATAAGGGTGATTCAAAATCAGGTGGGTATTTGGACCAGATAAGTACCTGTCATTCCTGCAACATGATTCCATTAAATGTGTGCCATTAGCTAAGCAGGAAAGCAGATCAGAAAGAGGAAATACTGTGAGCAGAACATATTCTTCCATACGGTATGGAGTGAAACAAAGAAAAAAAGTACTATGTGGAGCCAGGGATTAAGGCTACAATTACCTAGCCCTCTCTGAAACTAAAGGCTGAACAATCTGCTAGCGAAATTAGCCATTAAAGAAGACCTACCCTACCTCCAGGAAGAGAGAGGGCTCTAACTCACGTCTCTTAAAGTCTACAGTGCCTTGGTCTATTATTTTGGCTTAACATGTGTTTGGGAATTCAGAATAGTTGTTCGTTTGTTTGTTTGTTTTTTAAGTGCTTCAGACACCACTAAGTCCAGGGGAGAGGAATAAATTCAAAGGTCTTGTGATGGCAGAACCAATGTGCACCGTGCAGCTCAATCATGTTTCATGGTGGTGTTTTTCAAGATAAATGGCTGTTAGTTTTCATGAAATCAGTTCTCTCACAATTTGTTTATTGGTTTATTTGGGGAAATTATGAGCATACTTTTTGTTGTTTCATGTTTCTTCCCCCCTAGGCAGGTATATATAAGGTATTTCAGGCTTCCTATCTTCATAATTATTTCACCAAAAAAAAAAAAAAAAAAGAAAGACTACTGGTATATGGGGTGGGTTGGGGATGTTGCTTATATAGCATTAATCTGTTTAGAAAACATTCAAATCAGCTCAGTAAATAATCACCAATACATTACTCCCTTAGGAGATAAGAGAGACTTTAGAGAAGTAAAGTAAGTAAGAATTTGTTTAGAAGAAATGAAAGAATTATCTTTTCAGCATAGTTCTGAAAATAGGCAGTTAGGATCCATTTAAACTCTTGGAAAAATGCTTTCATTTTCAGTGAGAAAGTTCACTGTATGTTATGAATATTAAAATCATTGTTATATTTACCATCTCCTCTGAGGAACAGCTCCAAAAATGCAGCCCATGTTTCAATGTAAGGGAGATTGGGGTTATCTCTGTAGTAGTGGAAGAGTGAGACAGCTGTATCTTTTGGATTTCTAATGATGTAGATAACCTGTTTAAAAAACCAATTTATTCTTAAATAACCCAGTACAAACTATTTGCTGAAAGAAAACAGCAGCTAAACTTACCTGTGCAAATCCTGATTATTATTTTTTTTTTTTTGGAGGGGGATAGCTTTTGCTAATGATTAAACACTGTCTTAGGCTAATATCTCTCAAAACTTAATGTGCAGAGGAGTCATTAGAGGATCTTGTTAAAATGCAGATTTTGATTGAGGAGGTCAAGGAGGAGGCCTGGTATATTGTACTTTTAACAAGCTCCCAGCTGATGTTGATACTGCCAGTCTACCAACCACACTTTCTACATTTATGTGCTAAATTTGGTCCTATCTTTTGGGGGAAGACATGGGAAAATATAAACTTATTCATTTGTGAGACAAAATTACCTTTTAGTTATCCACATAATATAAAACTGATTTCCTGATCCTAAGATTTCTTACAAATTGTCTGTTATTATTGAAAGAAAAAAATACTGTTTTAGAATTTCTTTTTTCTACCATTTAATCCCCCCACGAGTAGGGAATCTTGAGGGAGCCTCCCAATTTCCATGAACACTGCAAATGCAGTTTAATTCAATTCAATAAATATTTATTTAGTACCTACTGTGTACCAAGTAATGTGAGATTTCCTCAGTCCAAAGAATATAATGAGCCAGGTATGGTGGCATATGCCTGTATAATCCCAGAGGCTTGGGAGGCTAAGGTAGGATTGCAAGTTCAAGGTCAGCCTCAGCAATTTAGTAAGACCCTAAGCAACTTATTGAGACTCTGTCTCAAAATAAAAAACAAACAGGGCTGGGGATGTAGCTCAGTGGTAAAGCACCTCTGGGTTAAATCTCCAGAACCAAAAAGAAAAAAAGAAGAAGAAGAAGAAAGAAAGAAATCCAAAGAATATAACAATAAACAAGACAGAAATGGATTCTAGCTCTCTCAAAACTTACAGTCAGGAGCGGGAAGTCTATAATTAAATACACTTGACAATACAATGTTGTAAGAGTTATAGCAGGGTGTGTAGAGTCCATAAGACTATATAAGAGGCCTCAGGACACCAGGATAGGAAGCTGGATTTACTAGGAGCATTTTCAATCATAGTCAATATTGCATGATGAGTTGAGGGTACAAGATGTTCCACTTACTTTTAAAATGACAATCAGGGTAGACACATTTTGCTCAGATTAAAAGAGTTAGCTGAGTCATTATGCATACGTAACTATCCTGTTCAATGTAACTATCCTGTTCATAGTCCAGGTATTGTGGGTCCACATGAACAGTGTCTGTTCTTCTTTAATTGAGGGGATGTATAAAGGTCGCTGTGTACAGGAATGAAGAGTCACCTTTACCCCCACCCCACCCAGTATTCTCTCTACATCCCAAGAAATGCTTTCAGAGTAACCTAACACATTAGGCCTGTCTGACTTCTCCTGAGCAGATTCATAGAACCCTAAGGCTCACAGAACAGTTATAAAAACCCACTGCCTTAACAAAAAAGGGATAAAGTGTCAGAATTTAAGCCCCATTCAGTTGGACATATTCATTTTAGTAAAAACAAAAGTTTTTAGGGTTTCTGGAGAACGCCCAAAGTTATATGTCTGCATTATCTACTGGGAAAGACAATGCAACCCATTAATTAGTACATATTTTGTCAGAGAATGTAGTCTAGAGACATTAGAATTACTGGAGGAGGTTAGGGGGGATAAAGGGAAGGCAGAATAGTACTCTGGAGGGGAATCAAATATGAAACAAAACAACATAAAATGAGCTAGAAAGCATAACTTTTATGCCAAAGAGTTTAGAAACATAAAAAGGGAGAAATGAGGATTAAGGAGAAAATAGAGAAGGCAACTAGGATTGAGCTCTAGCAGGGGGAATATGAGGGAGGAATTTACTGTCCCAGGACCCTGCTGGGGCAAGGAGGCTTCTCCAACTCCAAGCCCTCAGGAGCTGAACCTCATTAACAGTTGTGGGAAACCTCTCATGAGGTCAGGGAAGAGGAGGCTCAGCTCCCAATAAGGGTCACACTGAAAGGGCTGCACCTCAAGGCTTTAGTGTGGTGGTTAAGAAGCACCCAAAGTTGGGCTGGGGTGCTGGCTCAGCGGGTAGAGTGCTCACCTAGCACAGTCAAGACCCTGGGTTCAATCCTCAGCACCACATAAAAATACATAAATAAAGATATTGAGTCCAACTATAACTAATGTGTATATATATATAGTGCCCAAAGCTATCTGAGCTTCAGTGTCCTTGCTTATGAAGGGTCTGTGACCTTCACTTGTCCTTATTGTGATGTACACAAAACATATAGCTTCCTATCTGGTAGCCATTTGTTACCACATCACCCTGAGTTAAAGTTAGTGAGTTTAATCTGAATCCTTTTCTCTTCGAATCTCTCTGTCTCTCTCCTTTCCCTCCTCTCTGTCTCTATCTTTGCTTTTCTTTCTGTCTCACTCTTTATATTTTCAGTCTGTTTCATCAGGAGAAAGAAGAATATTTGAAAAGCATTGTCTTTCTCCCTTTCTCTCCCTTTGTCTTAGCAAGAGTCTCTTTGGAAGGTCTGGTTGAGTGAAATGTAATCAAGTTAATTCACTTTCTCCTGCTCTGACAGATTGGGGAGGGAGGGTCAGTCAAGGCAAAGCTTTATGACATTTGCCCCTGGTTGACTGTGCTTCCTTTAATTTGTGCACAGAGGTATTGTGGTCATGGAATTACAGTTGTGGAAGACCTGCTCTAATGCATACACATTTGACTGGTAGGCTGCTTTTGTTTTTATGTTTAGAATATGACTGAAATTGTTTGAAAAGCTTTCGTTTCTGGAAATGTGTTATAGCTGTCACATGTGTCTTGTCTTTGCTTTTCAAACATTCTTCTTTTTTCTGATCAAAATAGACTTTTAAAATGTTCCTTACACATACATCTCTTGAAAAATTTCAATCCTAATGTCATATTACATTAGGCGTTTTTCCTTTCCTATATAACACTTTGCAAAAATAATAGATAAAATAATTAAAATATAAGCAATATTGACTGTGCCACTTCTGGGCCATATGACAAAGTAGGAATCCAAACCCAGCTTTGTGAGATTCCCAAGCCTCAGCCACTAACCACAGAACTTACCTTGCATTGCTTTTGTTTAATATCCACCGGCAGCATGTCATAGCTCAAATGGGTAGGAATGACTCTTCTCTTAGAATATGTTTTTAGCTCGTCAAATTTAGAAATGTCTCCCAATTCAATAGGAGATGTTATAGTTATTTTTGCATTGGGAATGTTCTCAATGACTTCTGCAACCCAGTGAGTGCCTTTACACAGAGATAAAGTGAAATCCAATTTTAATTAAATATCACTCTTGATAAAATGAATAAAGAAAATTAGGATGTGATAAAAGCAATGAAAGCATTAATTTTATTATAATAGTCACATTACACACCCATAAAACCTGTTGAAACACTGAAGATGCTAATTCACTTCACAAGTAGATTCACATTTTAAAGAGTGAAAGGGTTTGAAGACTGTACTTCTTGCTTCCTTGGCTAAAATGCGCTTCTGTTACCAATCACTCCTGAAACTTTCAATTCACAAAGTCATGCACATCTTTCCATACATGATTCCCACTCATCCTGTGAGCTCATGCAGCTTCATCCTCTATAAACTACCCCTGAGTCCCCACTCGCTGGCATAGTTGCTCATCCCTTCCTGGCTCCCACGCTGTATTCAGCTCCTACCTCTGTCAGAGCACAACCACAGCATAGTTGCCATTGCTCATGTTCATGTTTACCCCTCCATTTCCTCCTTGCAAGTAGCCACGAACCTTCATTTTATGTACAGATCACACAATATTTGTGTAAACAACAAAGCATTTGAACAATTAATGTATACTGTATTCAAATATCATAGCGATACAAGCTATCATGGAATCCAGAAAGAATACAACATTAGCTGTTTTATTGTTGTTGTTGCTGCTGTTGTTTTATTTTTTCCTGGTGCTGAGAATTGAACCCAGGGCCTTGCATATGCTAGCCAAGTGCTCTCCTACCAAGCTGTCCAGCCCAAGAAAACAACTGGACATTGACATAAAGCAAATGGTGGGTGAACTCTACAGACAACAGTAAATTGGAGCAGAGAAATAGAAATCTGCAGTGGGGTGGGGTTTGCTAACTTGAAAGCAATGTCCATAAAGAGTTTAAGTCGAGCCTCAACTTCATTTATCTCATTTTAATTTCCATGAGATACAGTATTTACAAGGTTACAGTTGAACAGAGTTTAAATAGGACCTTCATTTGCATTGTTTTAATATTGACTATTTCAATTTGTAATAAGTCTTAAATATTTATGATTATAGTATTCATACAAATGTGACTTAAATTGTAAGGATATTTGGATTATTTTAACAAAACATATTGATTTGTTTTGATGAAAAGAGAGGGGATATAAATGACTCTGTGCTACCAGAGGGACCTTCTGGCAGCTGATGCCTTAGATGGCAGGGGATGTCACCATGTAGGCTCCACTATGTCTAGTGGAAGTCAATATATGTTTGCTTATGGTGTAAGTTAGCCACTTACTGTGAGAACATTTAGGCCCATCTTGTTTGTTTGGTGAGGTACTGGGGATTGAACCCAATGGTGCTCATCCACTGAGCTATATTCCCAAATCTTTGTTTGTCTGTTTTGGCTTTAGTTTTTTTTTTGTTTTGTTTTGTTTTGTTTTTTGAGGTATTACAAAAATGAACTTGTCCTTTTGCCTCAGCATCCAGTGTCACTGGGATTATAGGTGTGCATGTCCAGTTCCAAGAACACTTAAAATATCATAGGTTACTTTCTAAACTAATATATCAACTTAAGACAATTTGCATATATTCACAGAGCAACCTATTATATTCCAACTTTACTCTGACATATTCTGGAGTCAATCATTTAATTTTTCTTTCCAGCAGTGTTTTCCAAAATAAAATGATAACACTGGGAAGATCAGTAAAGTAAAGGGACCAAAGGACGGGAGGCGGGGAGTGAGTGGGGAAATGCTAGAGAATGATACTGTTAAATTATATTGTTATACTGTGTGCATGTATGAATATGTAATAACAAATCCCATCAGTATGTGCAACTATAATGCACCAATTAAAAATGTGGAAAAAGAACAGAATGATCACCCTAGGAGATCTGGTCTTAGGTGAACTCTACATCTTCCCATAAAGAGGACCTCTTGGCCTCAGATGGTGACTCTTCTGCACTCACAACTCAAGGGGAGCTCAGCTTTTAGTTGCTGAACTAGTGCTACCAGGTATATGCCATCTCTATATGGTCACTAGTCTGGAAATAGCAACAGGCAGTGGGATGTTATATACCTTTGCCAGCTGTCAAAGCAAAAATAATATAACTCATTTTTAGAATTTACAGAATGATATTATTCATAATAACCATCCCTTCAGGGATCTACAACTCCATGTGGGAATAAACTTTGAAGTGAAATCTTTTTAATGTTACAAATATTGATGGCTCTTACTAGTTTAGAAGAAAAACAATTATTTATAAAGCAATCATTAAGTGTAAATTGAACAAGTATTATTTAATTATTGCTATGCCTGGGTCAAATTATGATCAGAACTTTATAATGTTATAGATCTTATGCTTACTATAAATTTCAGCATATGTCCTCATGAATAAAATAGAAACAAGCATTTGTAAAGCTTTACTTTTTCCAACTGAATCTTTTGCATAGCACATTTAAAAAATCTCTTATGTCAAATTTTTTTCATTAAAATAAGCAGTGGAAAAATTCCAAAAAATAAATGCTGAGCAAAAATGATTATTTTATTTATTATTGCATTCCTACATTAAAAATGCATTGAAATAAACTCACCAGATTTGGGGTAGGAAACCAGAAACACATCATCTTCTCTTGCATCAAAAGAATCCAAGGAATCAAGAAGTTCTCTTGAAGATGCAGTGGAAAAGAGGATCCCCTTGAATTTATGAAGAACACTCAATTGACCCGGGGATAACATCTTTCATCAAATCTATCAAAAATTATTTACTAAACACTGACTCGACACAAGACACAGAAAAATGTGGTCCGTGATCTTATTCCTAGCTGAGTGGGAATGTAATCTTAGAATTACTAAGTTGACATTCCAAACACACACACACACACACACATATATATATATATACCTTTTACAATTCTTCTCAAGACTAATTTTTAAACCATAAGAGAGTTAAAGTCTGTTGTAAAAATTTTGTTATCTGAATTTTTCTGATAACACATGTTACAAAATGTTTCCTCCTACTTGACTCAGGATAGTTTGCGTACAAAGCTACCAAGCTATCAGAATGCAATCATTCTAGTAAGATACTGTACTCAATCAAATCCTTTGGCCTGAACAGGAAAAGGCTTTTAGTGGCTATAATGGATTATGTCACATACAAATGATTATAAAAAACTAGATTTAGCTTTCTACTTATTAACACAGTAGAGGAAGTAGTTACTATTGTTTTTGTTTTTTTTTTTTTAAATTTGAAAATGCTAGGAATTGAACCTAGAGACTTGTACATGGTACACATTCACTGTACCACTGAGATAGGCCCCCAGCTCTCATATGGCATTTTAAGAAAAGAGAAATAAACTGAGAAAAGAGAAATATAAATTTTTATAGGAATTAAAAGATATAGCTGTGACTTTGGACAAAACAGAGTTATAAAGGAGTCAATATTGGAATAAGGCCATCCATGCCAGAAAAGAGATATCTTGAGGTTTTATGAAAACAGGAAGTTATAAGTTGAAGTAAATAAACTCTTGTCTGACTCATTCCTAGTTTTTGTCAGTAATATCGCAATCCACAGTTGGATTTATGCTTGTCTAACCATTGAAAGAAATATACACCAACAACAATAACAAACAAACAAACAAAAAAAACCATGTTAGTTGAGCACCAAAAAATAAAACAAAACAAAATAGGTCTACTGTGGAGAAATAACAAAAGAAGAAAAATATCTATGACAATAACAGAAATGAAATTTAGAAGGATCACATACATAGAAAATCCCAAAGAATCTACAGACGGTAAGAATAAATATATGAATTGAGCATGGCTGCTGGATTGTTAGGTTACCACATGAAAATGGACTGTATTCTGATATTTTAACAAAAACCAATTTAAAATAATACTATTTGCAATAAGGAAAAAATCAATTCTCTTAGAAACAAGTCCAATAACAGATGTGCAAGACACTGAAAACTACAAAGTATTACAGAGACTAGTTTAAAAAAACCTAAACAGGTCTGGGGCTGGGGCTCAGCAGTAACTCACTTGCCTGGTATGTGTGAGGCACTGGGTTTGATTCTCAGCACCACATATAAATAAATAAAATAAAGGTCTATCAACAACTAAAAAAATATTTTTCAAAAAGACATAAATAAATGTAGACATATACCACATCTATGGACTAGATGACTTAATTTTATTAAATGACCTAATTTTATTAAAATATCAAAATTATTCTTATTAATTTATAAAGTCAATAAAGTTTGGTCAAAATCCAAACAGGTATATGTGCCTATGTGTGTATGTGTGTTTATACATTGATAAGCATTTATGTGAAAATGCAAAGACCCTAGAGTAGCCAAAGAAATCTTAAAAGAAAAAAAATCCCTAGGACTTATCAGATTTCAAGGTTTACTATACAGTAATAGTAATTAAAATTATGTGACCTGAGCCTAAGACTACACACATAGACCAATGGAATAGAATGAAGAGCACAGAAAATGACACTCAGATAAAGGGCCACTTGATTCATGACAAAGGGAAAATTCAGGGAAGAAAGAATTTTTTTAATGAATGGTATGTATCCCATTGGATCCCTAGGGAGAGTTCAATGAATCACATCTTATAAACAGAGAAAATTCAAAATGGATCATATAAAATTAAATTTTAAAAATAAAATATTTCTAGATGTAAACAAGGAGAATATTTTCTGAATCTTTGAGAAAGCAAAGATTTCTTTTAAAGGATTAAAAAACCCACAAACCATTAAAAATTATAATTGGACTTCATTAAATTAAGAACTTCCTGATTAAAAGTCATCATTAAGAGTAAAAAGCAAGACACAGAATGTCAGAAAATATTATAGTTTATATATTAAATGCTGTGCTTATTTCTAGACTCTAACGAACTTGTACTTACAATAACAAAAATCAAATAACAAAAAAGCAAAAGATGTGAATATGCCTTTGAAAATATATCCAATGTGATTCTTTGTTAAGAAAATGAAAATTAAATCTAACACTATAAAGCAGTCTACTTTCAGGATGACAAATGAAGAGCTCTGTGGACACAATGATGAAATAATCACAGGGACAAATCTTTTAAAAATTTATGTTAAAAAATAAACGTTTAAAGCCTCTATAAATTGTCCTTAAAAAGTCTTTTTTAAAATTTATATTAAAAAATAAATACTTAAAGACTCTACAAATTGTCCTAAAAGCAAACAGTAATTAAATATTTATTCAAGAAAATCTACTAAATCTTGATGAGAACAGTGGGAGTCTGTCACAGTTGAATCATGATCTGCTCCCTCCCTCTATGATCCCTGCCAGCTCAACATGGAAGCTCCACTCCGGGAAAGCATGGTTAAAAAAATGAGGCTCCTCTCTTCCTGGCTTTCAGACAAGGAATAATGTGCTTCCTTGGGAAGAACAGGCCACAAGCATTTCTCATCTCCTCTACCTTTGTTCTGTAGAGGCTGAACTTCAGGTGACTGCAGTCAAGAGATTGGAGGCTCTCTTCTTCCATTCAATACATCCTGAAGGAAAAGGTGCTCTACTTTTGGTGCAGCAGAAAGAAAATACATGAGTACCCATGGCCCAGCTCATACACAGACCAGAGGCTTTACAACAGGAGAAGACTAGAGGATATTAACACTTCCAAGAGCCCCATTTATAGAACAGTGTCACGCTGAGAGAAACAGGCCACCATCTATGTGGCTCTAAGATTTTTCCCAGGACAAGCATTAAAAATAATAATAATAATAATAGAAAAAGAAAAAAAAAAGTTCTTTTAAAAATCTTCAGCTGTCCCAACAGGGAGACACTGACTTTACTTAAAAGGGCAAGGGAGAGGGTGCTTTGGAGAACAGTGAGAGAAATTAAATAGATTGTAGACCCATGTTGTTTATTAGGTAGTAGGAAAGGAGATGGCTAAGAAGAGGTCTCCTGGGGTCAGAACCAAATGAAAAAAAAAAATGACTTCTGCAAAGTGTTTTACTTTCAATTGAGTCAGACTGTTGAGAAATTTATATTTCAAGGTATTGTTGAAAATACTAGAGCAACCAAGTTATAAGTAGTCAAGTCCAATAGTTAGGTGACTTGTACAAAAAGCAGACAGCTACTCAGAAGGTCAGGAAAAGAGAGAGAGCGAGCCCTGCTGAAAGCACTGTTATCCAAGGGTCACTGTGCAGTTGCTCATGGCCACACTCAGAAGTGACCTCAGAGGCTTCAGGATGTGGGAGGAAATGAACCTTTATAAAGCAGTCAAGCCAAATAACATTTTACACACACAAAAAAAAAAAAAATCAACAAGTCCCATATAAGTAAGGATCAGTGTCCTGGGTTGTTGGAGTATATTTTCTACAATGAAAACATTTCAACAAAAATATGAGATATGCAAAGAAAATGGAAGGTGTGACTCGCAAACAGTGGGGGGTGGGGGGGCACTGGCAGCATGTCTGTGAAAGGCCTGAATGACACACTTAACAGACACTGACCTCAAAATGGCTATTACACATATATTAATAGAACTAAAGCAAACCATGATTTAGAAAGTAAAGTTTGATGGAAATCATCATACTGCCTCATGTAGAGGGGAAAAAATGATGAGTAATTTAAAAAAAAAGAACTAAATTGACATCTGGCACTAAAAAATATAATTACTGACATGAAAAATTCGCTACAAGAGCTAAACCATAGATATGAACTGGCAGAAATAAAAACAACAAACTTGAAGCTAGCTCTTTGGAGAGTATGCAATCTGCAGAAAAAAAAAGTGGGGGGGGGACCAGAAAGTATGAGGATGAATGAAGAGAGAGACTCAGAGAAAAGGACTTCAAACACTATATTACACATCAATTAGTGTGTCATCAATAACTGCACCAACTATCACATCAGGGGAGCAACAAAAGAAGAGGGGAGAGAAAGCAGAAAAAAATGAAGAAATAATGGCTGAAAACACTATAAATTTAATGAAAAAAAATTAATTGATAATTCACAAAAAAGCATAAGGAGATCCACACAGTCTCATCACAGAAAAAATCTTCAAAGATAAACACAAAGAGAAAAATCTTAAAAGCAGTAAATGAAAATGACTTTCAAATCCAAAGGAACCTCCAATATGTCTTCGCAGCTGACTTTTTATAGGAAAGAGTGGAGAGCATAAGGCACCAGAATGGCAGATTCAAAGTACTGAAAGAATCTTATTTCCAGCAAAACTGGATTCAAAAATGAAAAAGAAATGAAAGCTGCTTTAGTCAGATTTTCGCTGCTGTGACTAAAATATTTGACTAGAACAATTTTAGGGGAGAAAATTTATTTGAGAGCTCATGGTTTCAGAGGTCTTAGTCCACAAAAGACAGGCTCCATTCCTCTGGGTTTGAGGTGAGGCTGAACATCCTGGCAGAAGAACTTGGCACAGGGAAAGGCGCTCACAAGATGATCAGAGAGCAGAGAGAGAGAGACTCCACTCTAGAGATACAAAATATATACCTCAAAACCATGCCCCCAGTGAGCCACTTCCTCCAGGCACACCTCACCTGCCTTCAGTTACCCCTCAGTTAATCCCAGCAGGGATTAATTTACTGATTATATTAAGGCTATAACCCAATTAGTTCTCCTCCAAACCTTCTTGCATTGTCCACAAGTGAACTTTTGGGGGACACCTCACATCCACAACCATAACCAAGGCAGTTCCAGATTAACGGTAGCTAAGAGAATTAATTAGTAGTAGACGCACCTCACAAGAAATCTAAATTAAGTTCCTCAGACTTTGATATCTAGATAGAAATTCAAATCCACATAAAAACAAAATCCAAAATAAA